AAATAAATAAATAAAAAGTTCTTGTGGTGGTACAATTAGGTTTAGCAGCTGTTACCTGTTTGTATTTTTTTAGTTTTTACCGTCTTTCTGTAATATCATTTCTGATACTTCTGTGTTTAACTGATCTATTTTTTTAATGGTCACTAAAATGTATTAGATCATATTATCATTACTATGTTCTTAACTGGATATATTTGACAAGATTGGTATGAATTCCCCAGAAGTTCTAACTTTTGATCCTGATGTATCTCTGATGTTACTATTTGTAATTAGTATAAGAGAATAATTTTGAGAGTGAGTGGTATGTAAAGGATTTTATCAATTTAAACCTCATACCAAACTATCTTTTTATATAAAGTATATTAATGAAGTCTATACTTAATTTGAAAAGAGCAACATTGGGTCATTAAGTAAGATATGATACTGGTCTGTGCCTTATATGAAGATTATTTTCCTTTCCAATGTCAGTATTTGCTCAGCATTTAAAATAATGTATCAGAAACAATAAAGGTCATCATCATACAACAACATGTCTGAGAGGTAASAGGGCTTAGGATCAACCCAATGTTTTATTTATTTCTTTGTTTTGTGTACTTGGGGATTTAACCCAGGATCAGTTTTCTACTAATCTAAATAACCTGCCCTTCTTTTAAAAACAGGGTCTTTAGTGAGACATGAAGTTGAGCTGCATTGATTAAGGCCTCATTAAATTCCTGAGTCTGGCCTCAAAATTGTGATCCTCATCTCTTAGCCTCCCAAACCACTGGGATTATAGGCATGTGCCACTATACCAGGCCCAATGTTTAATCTTGCAGATTGATTTCCAAACATTTAAGGGAACTATGGTTATAGATATTTTGACATTCAGAAACGTAACTTTTAACTTACCCTGTTAAATCCTATAATAACAATACTTAATATGGTGACTGCTGCAACATGTCAACCTATATTGGTGTTTACAGGAAGAGTATGGTGGTAACCTAGGAGGAACAGGGAGCTAACTAATAGAGAAAGACATTTTTTCAAGGAGTAATTTAGTTTGACTCTCGTTGATTATAAGAAAGGCTTATTTTGGTATTCCTGACCCAGCAAATTTAGAGCCATTCAGTATGGTGTGCTTTAGGGATATGTGAGAATACATACCTCAGTGATATAGAGAATTTTAGTGATGAAGTTGAATGTATTTGCATTTTACCCTAAAAATGTAAAACCCAGTTTTTAAAGCAAATTTATGACTAATAACTTCTTACTTGTAAATTTTTTGCAATTATGGAAAGTGGTCAGTCCTGTTTCATAACTTTGTAGATGTTCAGCTAGAGATGGTCTTTTCCACTAGGAACAACTCTTTTTGTTTGTTTGTTTTGCCACTGGAGACTTAACTGGGGACACTTCATACCCAGCCCTTTATTATATTATTACATTTTTTAATTTGAGACAGGGTTTCCCTAAATTACTTACAGTCTTCTTGCTGCAGCCTCCTGAGTTGCTGGAATTACAGGCGTGCGCCACCACACCTGACTAAAAGCACCATAACTTTTTCCTCTCATTTAGGACTTCAGAATCAAAAAAAAATTATAGAAGTAGAGAACATTATATAAGTTCATGGTATTCTGGGGTTAGAGCACATCTAACTTGAGGGCCTAATSTTTGTATCTCGAAGTATATGGTGTGAACATCAGGCTTGAGTTGAACAGCAAAACAGATACAGTAAATTGTTAAGTACTCTGAATAGATATAATATTCTTGTCCTAGTTGTTGAACGTTGGGCCACGGAGGTCTCAACCTGGACAGAGAAGGGAGCCCAGAAAGATCATCACCGTTTCTGTAAAAGAAGATGTGCACTTAAAAAAGGCAGAGAATGCCTGGAAACCCAGCCAGAAACGAGATAGCCATGCTGAGGATCCTGAAAACATCAAAACCCAGGTGAGAACAGKAGCAGATCCTGACATTGTTCTAGAGTTAAATCATAACATTTTAATTTTTCTCAATGTTCTTTTGCCTTATTAGTATGTAGAAATATCAGTTTAAGACTTTTTATACTTCTAGTAAAAACATTATTCTAAAAGCTATCATGGATTCTATTTTGTCTTGAAATTACCACTTCTGTGTTTTTTCAAAACAATTATGTCTGTCATATATGAAAGGCTTCTATCATTCAAGCTTACATTAATGTTTTCTTTAAAATACATCTTTATATTCTCTATGTTAAAGCCCCTTCATCCTGTGCTAATCTTATCTAATTAGTACATTGCTCTAGTCAGTAGTTAGGCCTTCTTTTTTTCATACCAGAGATTGAACCCTGGGGCACTTAAACCACTGAGCCACATCCCAGCCCTTGTTAATATTTTGAGCCAAGGTCTTGCTAAGTTATGTAAGGCCTTCCTAAGTTTCTAATGCTGCCTTTGTACTTGTGATTCTCCTGCATCAGCCACCCAAATTGCTAGGATTACATGTGTGCACCTCTGAGGCCTTCATTTCTAAGAAACTGAAATTTGGAGTTTTTTGAGATAAAATATGAAATTTTTTGTATCTTTTTGTTCATATTCTGCTCTCAGACCTCCTTAGGGTAAATTGAATGAATTCCTTTTTTAATCCACAAAATATTAATTTTTGCATATCAAGTTATATAAAGCTGTAATTCCCATTTTGTGGTATATTACCTAGGTAACATCTGCTGTCTCCTTTGGATGTTCTTGTTTCTAGGCATTCACACTAGATTCTCTCACAGATCACATATTAACTTTTCAGTCTTAATGTTTTTTTAACATCTTTTATTTATTTATTTGTTTGTTTGTTTATTTGTTTATTCAACCATTAGCAGTTGAAAGATCCAGCTCTGGAGACAATCCTGATTCTGTTAGGCAAGTTCTTAATCTCAACTACAAAGTGAAGATAGAAATAGTATCTACCTCGTAGGACCAGTGTGAAGATGAACTGAGATTATATGAAGCATTTGGCATGGTTACCAGAGCCTAATCATGTGCCTAGTATTTTGATGTCCTTGGACATGTCTTTGATTTAGCACCAGCAGAGAACTTCATACGTAGCAGATAATTATTGAACATTTCTTAAATATTTTAAACCAACAAAAAATGTTGTTTATATAAAGCAAAGACAAACATGATTTGATCCAGCAAAAAGCCAAGCTGTCCAACCTTGTTGGCTGTTTGCCTTTGTTCATCCCTTCAATGATGTCACAAAATTTGTCAGAAATCCCTAATTATGTCCTCCTTCACTTTCACTGAAATCAAGTCCTTTATTTTCTGTCTCATCTGAACACACCTCAACCTTAAAAAAAAAAAAAAAAAAAAAAAAAACTTCTATACTCCTTTTCTATAGTCCTTTCTTCGTTCCTCCTGAGAAATGCTTAACAATAATGGAGACCTAGGTATCTTCTTAAGACAGTTAAAAATTCCTACTGGATCTTCATTATTGTTTTGTTTTAAAAGGTAAGACCCTTGTGTATTGGTGCCTTATGTCATTAGATTATTACTAAACCTGTGAAGAATAAACAGATATTGTCCCTTTTTTCCATGTGGAAATGGTATGTTCAGGAAATAAGTTTCCTGTAGTGCTGTGGTTATGGGATAGTCCAGTTCTTGTGACTTGTAATCTGCCTTTCTTTACTCTGTAGCTGACCCCCTCCCATTCAGAATTCTTATCTCAGAAACAGAATAATTATATTAACATAAATGCCATTAATTTAGTCTTTTCTGCATAGGTGTACCCCATGTTGCCTATTGTTCTTGATATTCTTTTCATTTTGTTAAATGAAAAGAAATAATATATTATCAAGAAATAATATCAATATAATAGGTTTTCTTTTTACATATACCATCAGAAAACTCTGTCTCTCTTTTATCCCTTCCACTCTACACATTATCTTCCTTCTTGGTGAACATCATGTCCCCACAGCACTTCCAGGAAATCTCCACCTGAGATTTGTCTGCACCATGCTGCTGTACTGCTTTGGTGCTGGTGCTGCTGGGTTCCTTTGCTTCATCTCTCTGTTCTTTGTGATGCCTAGATCTAGTTCTGTTGCCTGATTCACTTGCCTGAAATACTGATTTGACCTTTTCTCTTCATCTGAGCTTTCTGATTGATAGATACATACATACATACATACATACATACATACATACATACATACTAGGGCTTGAGCTCAGGGGTGCTCTACCACTAATCTGTATCTCCAACACTTTTATTTATATTTTTATTTTGAGACAGGATCTCTCTAAGTTGCCATGGCTGTTCTGAAACTTAGGATCCTCCATTATCAGTCTCCCAGGGTGCTGGGATTATAGGTGTTGCCATACCTAGCTTTATCTGTGTTTTATAAAGTAGCACCGAAGAGTCATTTTCTCTCACTTCTAATGAACACTACTCTGATATTTCCAGTTTGCTCTCTCTGTCCCCAAAATAGGAGTTTTCAGTATTAATTCCTTCCTAAGCTGGACATGGTGGCACAAGCATGTAATCTCAGAGACTCAGGAGGCTAAGGCAGGAGGAACACAATTTCAAGGCCCGCTTGGCAAATTTTAATGAGACTCTGTCTCAGAAATGGATGAGATTGTGGCTTAGTGGTGGATGGCCTCTGGGTTTAGTCTCTGGTACCACTCACAAAAAMAAACCCCACAAACTTCTCTGGCATTTGATTGTATATGCTCATTGTGTTTATGGTAAGGATTTAAAATCTTCATAGAGGGATTTAAGTGTAGAGGGATTAAGAGAGAGAGGGAGTGAGGGAGGGAGARGGAGAGAGGGAGGGAGGCCTTCCTAGGGCTAGGGAGTATCTGAGTGGTAAATGTTTGCAACCCCCAGTATCAAAATCAAACAAACAAGGAATAATCCCTTCCTAAAACATTTTCCTCTTTCTCAAATATCTTCTCCCTTTTCTTTTCACTTAGCCAGCTTTTTCCTTCCTTCATAATCTAGCCCAGTTCTCCTTTCCTTTTGAGGTCATTTCTTGACTAGTTCAGTGCCTGTGACCTACAATACTCCATTTTCTGGTGTTGCTTTATCACTTTGTAAATATCTTACCTGTTCAGCAAGGTTTTGATACAATAACTATGCCTTATATGTCATTTGTACCTAATGTCGAATTTTGTAGACATGAAGTAGAGAATTACAAATGAATGAGGATTTTCAATAAATACTTATTTCCTATTTATTGTACTTTTTTTTTCTGTGCTTACATTATTTTCTGAAAGTAGAAATAGTTGATGCTCTTTTACTAATATAAAGGTGAGTTTAACATTTCAAACCTGAAAGAAGATATTATCTTGGTTGACTTAAGCCTTTTTTCTTTCTCTCTCTTTTTTTGGGGGGGAGGGGAGAGGGTACTGGTGATTGACCCTTTACCACTGATCTACATCCCCCCCCCTTTTTTTTTTGAGACACTAAAGTCACTAGTTTGCTGAGATTGGCCTCAAACTTTAATCCTCCTCCTCAGCTTCCCAAATCACTGGTATGACAGGTGTGTGCCACTGTGCCCAACTTTTTTTTTCTTTTTAAAATCAAAACTGCCTTATTGCTGAAAATTTTGCCAATGTAATTTTTTAAAAWTTTTGTTTGATTTATATCTCCTGCTAGAGAAAATGTTAGCATTTCTACACAAATTCTAAATATCCTTGTAGTCAAGTATTTTTTAAAAAATAAAATTTTAATAAGATTTTGTGTTATTATATCATAGTTTCTTGCATACTTACAACTTTTTTTGTCGACATAATTAAATGAAAGAAACATTTCTTTTTTGTATACATTTCTATTATTGTTGGCAAMCACCAACACTGAGTGCCACCTCAATCAAGATATAAAACATTTTCATTAGACCTCAGTATTACCTTGTACTTATCCTTTTTCCTCATGCTCATGTCTGGTAATCAGTAATCTGTTCTGTCCCTGTAATGTTTCTTTGAATCGTTTTAACCATGGCTTCCTGTACTTAGCATATGTATTTTATATTCACCCATATTATTACACATGTACTTAGCATATGTATTTTATATTCACCCATATTATTACACATGTACTTAGCATATGTATTTTATATTCACCCATATTATTACACTGTTTTTGTGGATGTTTTCTTTTAATTGTCCAGTAGTGTTAGTTTGTTTATTCATTTACAGGATAAACAGTTGCCAACTTTTGGCAGTGACCACTAAGTTTGCCGTAAATCTTTACATGCAGGGTTTGTGTGAACATAAATTAGTTACTTTGGATGAGTTCCTCGCTGTGGGATTGGTGAATATATATTTAACCTTATTGGAAAATGCCAGTAAAGTTAAATGTTTTACAGACTGGTTTGAAGTTTGGTGTTTCTTCTGGCAAAGAATGAGAGTCTCAGTTGTTTTTCATTTTCCCCACCATATGCTCTTTCCTACTTTTTAAAGTTTAAGTCGTTCTAATGGATATTCTGTCCGTGTATCATTGTAACTTTAATGACTTTGAACATCTCTTCATGCACTTTTTTGCAATTGCTACATCTTCTCTGATAAAGTTTCTGTTTATATATTTTGCCCTTTTTCATTGAGTGATATATTTTCTTACTGTTGACTTTTCATAGTTCTTTACATATTCTGAGTTCTCTACATATTTACAGATTTTCTATGATATTCTATGCTTTATGTTCTTATTTTATAACAGTGTTTTTCACAGAAAGCAGCTTTTTATTTTGATGATATTTAGTTTATTAATTTTTACATTTGTGGATTGTGCTTTTGCTGCCATTTCTAGGGAAATCTTTGCACGACACAAGAATACAAAGCTTTTTTCCTATGTTGTCTTCTAGAAGTTAATAATTTTAATTTTTATATTTAGTTCTGTGATCCACTTTTACTTGAGTTTTGTAAAAGGTACAAGATATAGATCAATGTTCATCYTTATTTTGAATGTCCGGTCATTCTCTCACAATTTGTTGACTAGACTGTCTTCACCATTGAATTCCCTTTGCATCTTTGTTGCACATCTGTTCATCATATATTTGAGTCTGTTTCTCTATTCTCCATTCTATTCTTTTGAGCTGTGCGTCTATCCTTTGRCCAGTACCACAGTTTTTATTTAGTCCTATATATAATTAATATTGAAATCAGATTATATGAGTTCTCCATTTTTTTACCCCCAAAACATTGCTCAGGCTTTTCTCTTTGGGTCTCTTTCATCAGTGATTTATTGTTTTTGCCATACAGCTCCTATGAATATTTTATTAGATTTTTATCAAGCTTTTTTGTTGTTGTTTTTGATTTTGATGTTATAGTAAATGGCACTTCAACAAATTTTTATTTATTTGCACTTGTCAGTGTACCCTGTAATTGCTAGACTGACTTATTATAGTAGCTCATTTTGTAGATTGTTTATTATTTTTCTACATACACAATTACATCATCTTTAAAGTATTTCTTCCTTTCTAATTTGTACACTTTATTTCTTTTTCTTTGTCTTATTGCACTAATTAGCACCTCCAGTATGATGTTGAATAGGAATGGTAAGGACAGATATTTTTGCTTTGTCCCCAATCTTAGCAGAAAAGTCTGAATCTTTTACCATTAAATAGGGTTTTAGATTCCCTTTTTCTAGCTGAGGCAAGTTTCTTTCATTCCTAATTTGTTGAGTGTTTCTAAAATATCATTTTAAAAGACTCTTGCCTAGTATTTCATAACATAATTTATATTACACTATAATTTAGAAAAAATCCTATAGTTACACATTGAAGTTATATTGTATCTAAAATSTTTTTACCTATCCCTAAGGGAACATCCACAGTTTCATAACTTTTGATACATATTGTCACATGGGCGTTGGAAATGTCCCCAAAAGGGCTGTTGACTAATAGAGTGTGCTCTTGAGATGCACAAAGCCCTGGGTTCAATCCCCACCACCAAAAAGAAGAAAATAGACAATATTCTTGCCAACAAAGTTTAAATGTATTTAGTTCCTAGAGTTCTCATCATCAGTTTAAAAAAAAGGTTGGGTAATTTTTTTATAAATTGCTAAAATAAATGTTTTTAATAAATTATATTTTTAAAATCCTTCCAGAATGCATTTTATTGTCATAGTTAGGGTAATGTTCTTTTCTTCTTTGTGATTCTTTAGGAACTTTTTAGAAAAGTTCGAAGTATCTTAAATAAATTGACACCACAGATGTTCAACCAGCTGATGAAGCAAGTGTCAGGACTAACTGTTGACACAGAGGAGCGGCTAAAAGGAGTCATTGACCTGGTCTTTGAGAAGGCTATTGATGAACCCAGTTTCTCTGTGGCTTACGCAAACATGTGTCGATGTCTAGTAACGGTAAGAAGAAAGGAAGGAGTAAAACCAGAAATCTCCGAGAGGTATATTCTCCCCTCACTACACATTCTTCCCAGAAATCTTAATGGGGCAATGTAAAGGGGAGAATATATTTTTAGCACTTATTAATATAATATCCTTATTGGATAAAAGAAACTTACCTTATTAAAATATATCCACAGGGAGGGGATGAGGAGAGCAGGGTGAAGTGGGCATGAAGTAGTCCTGTCAGCATAAGGGAGATGGAGCTGCTGTGGCAGGGCCCGTGCCTGGCCTGTGAGCCCCTGGGCTCAATCTCCACTGCCTCAAAAAATAAATTAGTAATGTGAAATTATTGTGTAGGAATCAAGTTTCCTGGGACATCATGTTATATAATATTAAAGCAACATTTTACTGAATTTGAAATTAAGTAACTTTTTAGTTTTAATTATAGCTTTTATGAAAACAAAAGGATGGTTTTCTTATGATTAAAAGGTTTAAAACTGATAATTCATCTTTTAGAAACTGTTAGGTTTATCGTTACATCATCCATAGCTCTTATTTCTCCACATCCTGTCCAAACTAGGAAAACAGGATGGGAGACCAGTTTCTGATTGGTGTTCATTGTACTCCAGGTATTCTGCAATCATAAAATGCCACATTCCACCTGTGTTTTCTCTTTTACTGTTACCAAGGTACTTGTGTAAGAAATGCATGTCCTTTAACATTCGGGATTTTTCTTAATTATCACAACTTATTATCATCATACCTTGCTTCTTAGAGACAAGCTGTGAAAATGCAAAAGTCTGTTGTTCTACCAATATTTTTGAGTATCTATGTCAAAGGTAGGTAAATCTGTTTGGATTTGGAAAAAGTAACATCTTCTATCTTTAAGGAAGTTCAAAATACATAATTGGAAAAAAAMAGTATTTGTGAGGGAAAAAACATGTTTGTGATGTTACAGTTTGTTGAGTGTGATTGAATAATTTAGACAAAAACAAAATTATTGTGTTAGTGAAAAGATAAACTTGTATGAAGCAAATAATGTGTTGGTCCTGAGGTGGTGTGGATAGGGGAATAGGTAAAGAGAAGAAAGAATGTGTTCCAGGAAGGTGCCTGTCTGAAGCAGTAAGCATTTAATGATGGTTACAGTCCTAACTTTGAATTCTCACACTTCTAAGTTTAGAATATAAACTTTAAAAGTAAATTTCAAATTCCTACTCTGCCACTTGCAAACTTTTTAACCTTACTTAATATTCTTGGTTTCAGTCCCTAACCCCAAAATAAATAAAGGGGAATAGTTAATCATCTCTTTAAGCCTCAGATTTTAATCCCTAAAATAAGATTGATTCATACAATTTATGGTATTGCCAGGATAAAGAAAGTAAATGAGTTAATTATTTAATGCTAGAATGAACTAAAATACTCAATGAACTAGATCAGKAGTCTCAATTGGGGCCTCCCTCCACCCCCCAATTGCCGGGAATTAAAGCTCTCTACCATTCAAGAGTACATTTTTAAGAAAGACTTTTTCAATTTATAAAGCAAACTGATATGATGGATTTGGCTTTCCAAAATTGCTTTGTAAATAGGACATGTATGCACCTGTATACATATGCACAGGGACACAATATACACAGGTGCCTCCTCCATCAAAGCCTACCTAGGTAAAATACCACGTAAGGCTTACAAATAGCAATRGTAAGTCATGCCTCTGTGTATGTCTCTGCCTTTGCTTGTTCAATTACAAATGACTGAAGATGCCTGCAAAATCCCTCTTTACAAACAGCAAAGCATTTAACTAGAATTTAGCACCACTTTTAGGTGGAAAACACTTCAAATATGAGGCAAATGGAGAAAAGTGGTCAAGAGAAATTTTCTATATCTAAATATGTACATAAATATAATTTTTAATTGGATAATTGCAACGTTAAATTGCTATGCTTTGGGCTGGGGATGTGGCTCAAGTGGTGGCGCGCTCGCCTGGCATGCATGCGGCCCGGGTTCGATCCTCAGCACCACATACCAACAAAGATGTTGTGTCTGCCGAATACTAAAA